GGTGTTTATATACACATTTCCTTATAGTTTTATTCATACATTTTTAAGAAAATTGAAGAATTTGAAGTTCATTGCCACGGCTATTCTTCCAAATTAGTACTTTAATAACCAGGAAAAAATAGAACACGAACCAATTGAACCAGTTTCTGTCCGCTGAGAAATATTTAAACTATCGTTTCACGTTAATTAAAGAATGTTGACTTTTAAACATTTATTAAATTGTTTTTTATCTTATACGTTTATTCTTTGTTTGATCTTGACAAATTAATTTTAACTGTAGTAGGACTTCTTAGGGCATCGACGTCACATTTTTCACATCTGTTTTATTACCTCGTGGTATTTATTACTTATAATTATAAATGATGCTTCTCTAATTTTAAGGTCTTTTTAGATTAGGTATTAATAATTTTTTAAATGTAGTAGTTTTGGTTACGGTATAATTTAAAATTTTTTAAACAATAGCACACAATATTGTGTTTGTTGTTTTACTTATTGTTTCATTTGTATTATTGTAATTCATACGGTGATTAAAGTCAGACTTTAGATTTTTTTAGATATTTTAGTACCTTTATGCAAGAAAAAAATTAAATGTACTTTTCCGCGCCATGTACGAAAAATAAAATGAATAAAATCGCGTTGAAATGTTTTAATGGCTAATAAAGGAAATAAGTTTAATAGCTCGATAAGGATTGCTTATTTGTACGATTAAAATTTAGTTTAAACGAATTGATGGTAATTTTTAATTTCGAAAAAAGTGTGTTAATTGCCAAGTTAAATGATAAAAAAATTGAATTTAAAAGTTATTTACTAATAAATAATTAGTTTTTAAATATGCAAACGAACAACGTTGAAGATATGTAGTTTTAAATTCGTTTCAATTTCTGACGTCTCTATAAAAAATATTTTAGGTAATTAGAATTCGGATCATCAAAATTTTTGTTTATTTGTAAAATCGATCAGTACCAGTTTCATCATATGTAAATGTAGAGCATCTCCGATTAGAAAGAATTGTTGATAAAAATTTGTTCCAGTTTTATCCGAATATAAAATATGAAATATTTATCAGTGTAGGTACTGTATATATGTAATTTTTAATATGTATCAACTTTTAGAAATTAGTTTTAAATACAGTCGCTCGATTATGGATTACGTATAAAACGGAAAAGTTCTGGATTATACTGCAGAAGAATATAATTAAAAATTATTTGTTGATTAACCACTATTAAACGGTTTATAGTAAGCATGCGATATTAACATGAACCAATCGTGTATAATTAGAGATGGGGCGGGTATCTGGTTTGTATCCGGCACCTGGCGAATCAAGCCCTTGTATGATCCGGCCGGGTACCTGATAATAGTACCGAGTAACCAAAGCCAAAAAAAAAAACAGATTCACTACAAAAAATAACTTGTACTTTCAGTGAATGTTGAATGTAAAAAAAAATATTGAAACACTACGCCTTACATACTGAAAATTTAAAATGGTGTTTAATAAATCCATTAATTTTCTGTAATATATACATTTTTTTACATTGAAATTCAGCGATACTTTCTCAAATTATATTGTTTCTTAATATTACACCATAATGCATTAATATTAATAAATTAAATACATATAAAAATATACCTACAAATTTATTATATTAAATTTAAAATTCAAGTGTATTAAATTTCAAATACTGTAGATGCGTACTTAAATTTGCATTATTATTTATGCACCCACGTGTTGCTTTTTACTGAAAAAAAATATTTGGATTTTAATTTTGCAATAAGACCCCAAAGGAATTTTTTACAAATGAAGTCGCCGCTGACGGGTACCAGGTACCCGACCAAACCGCTACCCGGTGTGCATCTCTAATAATTATCTACGAATGTGTTATGTTGACATCATTTAGACATATGAAAATAGAACTGAAAAACATTATTTTTGCTCATTTTACTTTTTATAGTTATGGTACCATCTTCTTAACTAATATTTTGTCGTAAATAAAAAAGTGTGCCAAAGGTCAACTCAAATTAATGAACAGTAATTTTTCATTTTTCAATATTCTAAATAGTAATAGAGTGCAACATATTACTAAACTTAGGAAATCAAATTAATGTTTTATTATATTAATAAGATAAAAAAGCTTTTACAAGACCGTTGTTATTAACTTATTAATTATAATAATTTAGTATTTGGCCAACAACGTCAACGGTGTTTTATCGCCATGTAAAAGATAAATATAACGTTAAAATTGCGGTAAAATAGAAAAATTGTACAACTTTTACTGAGAATTTTCAACTACTACTTAAATCGTGCTTATGAACGACAATAGATAAATTATACGACATTCACATCGTACAAACCTTGTTCTTGATTTAAATAAGCTCAGTGACTTTGCATTATGTAGTTCAATAAATATTTCGTATTTTTTTTTTTTAATTCACTGGATAGATTCAACGCTCTTATACGCAAACCTGGTTGCTCTGTTTAGAGTGTGATGAAACGCATTCAGAAAGTTTATTACTTATCGATTTACTTTTTGAATAAAGTTGTGTGCGCACATGTATAACAGCAAGTGAGAACCTCTAGCGGACGAACCTCAAAATAATTGTTTATCTCAGTTACAATCTTCTAGAATTCTTCTTGAGAAAGTTCCAGTTGTAGTTTTCAGTCACTATCCGTAATAAATACTAATAATTATACTAACAGCGTGTTATACACTAAAGAACAATAGAAAACGTCCATTTGCTACATAACAATGATTGCAAACATAATCACTATTTATAAACTGTTGTTTTGATTATTTTCTTACTATAATGTATCAAGAACGCATAAAAAAAGTTAAGTTGCGTTTAGAATTGAACAAGAAATTACTAAAAGCCTGCTAGAGTTAAGTGCATTTTCTAGTGACATAAAATTGAATGTACGTATCAATTTTATGCATATTTAAATAATATTATTTTGTATTGGTGTTTGAGTATTTTATTTTAGTAGATACCTAATTGAAGGCTTTTAATTTTAATTCCTTCTAATATGGAAAATGTTTCACGAGTGTTTCACTAAGGAATCAACAAAAGTTATTTATTTTAATATTAATATTTAATATGGTTTTGTTTTATATTTTCTATTCCTGAACAATAATTCTTTTTAAGCCGGACCTGGTGCATTTACAGCCACCGCCACCTAGTCATTGTTTGTAATACTAATTAGTCGTTCGCGGTCTTCGCTTAGAAATCGGAGTCCGATGTTGAGTAGTTGACCGATTTGTCACTAGAATGCTTAACAAATTTCAATAAAAATGTTGATATTTTCAAAAGTTAATATCGCATTATTGTTTGTTTTGATGTTTTTTGATAACTTCCCGGTTATGTTTGTTTTTGGTTACGGGTTATTTGTTGCGATATAATATGTACACCTACATATGTATGTAGTTATATTGAATAAACCGGGTGCGCGATAAAAATCAGTGACAAAACAGGAAAAGAAGTTGACTGATAAAAAATGCTTACCCATCTTTCGCTTTCTTTAAATTTCCAGAACGGAATATTCCAGGTTATCCATGGATCAGTACGGTAGGGGTTTCTATTTTTCACTTCGACAACATATTGAGGGTCCTTGTGGGACATGTCACTTTTGAAATTGTACATTTTTCTATTATTTTGTAGTACGTGCAATAGAAGTTATAAAAAAACGCGACACGACCAAACGCTATAACCAGTCATTCAACTAAGTAAAAAGCGACGTACAATACATGTATATATAGGTACCTGTGTTCTGCAGTAATATTTTGGTGGGGGAGACGCGTTCAATAGGTATTACTTGTGATATAGAATTTTATTTTCAGGGTTTTGTAAAACCCTTTTAATTTGCGTTCTTTTTTTCCGTCCGCAAAGCGGTGGCGACTTTGAATTGAATACACGCGACTTAATTTTAGTCCGAATGATTTATTTTTGGAACACGATAGATTGACGTATGTATATGTACCTATCTGAGTGCCCACTAGTAAATAGCAAATACTTAATAAATATGTTGACATTCATGTGTATGCCTATCTTCAGAATACCTAATTTTTCATCAGTTTATTTCCGGGTAGGTATGTTATGTTTGTACTTTCAAAACTTAATGTCTTCTATCATCGCTTTTGTAATTTTTTTGCGATAGGTATACTTGTTTAAAATTATTTCTGTTAGGTTGACTGAAAAATTGCAAATTAATTTTTGAGTTGAACTGGGTTCTATGTGTACATATGTTATCCAATGATAAGATAAAAGAGTCTGGTAAAATTCCTATATGAACGGTTTGTACATAAAAGAGAACGAGAGAGAGAGAGAGAGAGAGAACAAGCGTTCGGGAATATTCTTTGAGGTAATTGTAAGTACCTATGTAAATATGTAANCTTATAAATATAGTTTACTGTAATTATTATTTTTAATATGTTTTAGTATGGGATTAACCTTACATCAACATGGTCACTCACACGGTTCAAGCAACAACAAATCGGGAAATGATTCAAATATCAACGTTAAAGCAGCCTTTATACATGTGGTTGGCGATTTTTTACAAAGTATTGGCGTATTTGTAGCAGCAATAATAATTTATTTTAAGGTAGGACTTCCCTTTCAGTTCCTTTACTATTTGACCATTTGTGTAATTCTAAGGAGCATATTCCTTTTTGATTTCTCTAACCGATGTGTAATAATTGAACAATTATCCTGTCAGCCTATCATACAGTATCAGTCCCTATATGTTACTATACAAACCTGATTTCAGAATAAACTAGTTTTGCCTAGACCAAACTAGTTTACTTGAAAAGCTATAGGATGAACATATTTGGCCTAGTCGAAACTAGTTTGTTATCATTTCATCACAATTAGTTTGGCTAGGCCAAACTGTCCGCTTACCTATCAAAACTGTTAGCAGTACCGTTTCTTATCAATTCCAATTAATGTAGCTCCTACAGGGATTATAAAGTATAAAAATTACGATTGCGTTAAAACTAATTTTATTTATCTATAAGGAATTGTACCATAACAAGTGTTTAGTGATTAATATATTATTTATTTTTTATTTAGCCGGAGTATAAAATTGTGGATCCTATATGCACCTACTTGTTCTCTGTACTAGTATTACTGACAACGTTTACAATAATCAAAGAAACTACAATAGTTCTAATGGAGGGAATCCCCAAAGGAATTGATTTTGCAGACGTTATGAATATTTTCTTGCAAATAGAAGGTGTTAAACGGGTACATAATCTCAGAATTTGGGCCTTGAGTTTAGACAAAACTGCTTTATCTGCCCATATTGCAATTCGTAAGTAGCTTATCATTTATTATTCTCCAGTAAATTATTAGTTCAAATAATTTTGCAGTACCTGGAATAAATCCACAGTTGGTGCTAATGCAAGCCACTAAAAATATTCACGAAAAATACAATTTTTTTGAAATGACGCTACAGATTGAAGAATTTCAAGATAGCATGGAAAATTGTCATCAGTGCAAAACACCACCCGTTTAGTTTTATTTTTAAAGCATACTTTTCAATTTGTTGTAGTTGTCAAAACTAGGTAAAATGACCTTTTGCTATTCCATTAACAGACTTTTATTTTTTAAATTACAAATAACTGTGCCAATTATTATTCGAATTCCAATAAACAAATAAAAAAAAAAAACCGGAATGTAATAGAGAGTGATTATTTATTTTATATAGTGTGATTTAATAAACCTTTTCTCATCTTTTCGTAAAACCTTATCATTTCCATTTTATTGCTTTTATTAAAATTACATAGAGTGATACATACACGGTATAGTTTTTTAAAATACTTCGTGATTTCATATTAACGTAATAAAAGATATTCTATACAATATTGTATTAAGTATTGCTTAAATTTAAACACACGGTATGTTTAAATTTTAACCTTGAGTGGTTGGAGGATTGCTAACTTCATTATCTCAGAATGGCCGGTGTCATAATCGGTAAATTTTGTGTTTTCCACTCTGTATTTGCTCACAGAAGATAAGTAATTTCGAAATATGTACGTTATTTTAAGAATCATTAGAAAAATTACGAAAGCATTTTAATTAATATTTATATCAAACAAACTTTAAAGAGTTTTACATTGATGAAATATGAACTAAGGGTGCAATGTGCCATTTTCTTATGTTTGTACATTTGGATGTACAGTTAAGCTACAAAGTACTAAATACAATTTTTTACAATAATTCACGAATCTACAATCATGTAGTAGTATATATTTTGTATAAATCTTGTTTGAATATTTTTCTTTTATAATTATCTGAAATTTTAAACACACAGTATATCTAAAATTTATACTTCAAACATTCATGTGTTACTGAAAGATTGCTAACTTCACTATCGTTGAATACGCTGTTTTTTCCGCTTTTATTATTAGAGCTCGGTTGTGTCGGTTGAAGTTTCGTTATGAAAATGTCGGAAGACAACGATAATGTTGATCGTGTTGATTCAGAAAATTGTAAACCAGATAAAATGTTTACTTTAAAAAAGTGGAATGCCGTTGCAATGTGGAGTTGGGATGTTGAATGTGATACTTGTGCCATTTGCCGAGTTCAAGTAATGGGTAAGTGGATAGAGGTTATGTTTTTAAAATTTTAACGCTTTCAATTTTAAAGTATTAATTAAATAAATTAAATATTTAGTTGTTTATGTGACAGGCTATTTTATCTTATATTGAGCATGATTATGACCGGTGTCATAGTCAGTAATTTTGTGTTACTCATTTTCTGTTTTCAGTATATAATTTATTGTGAAATATATACATTTTACATATTCAGGCACAGTATTTTGTGTCACCAGAAATATCACGATAGCACTTTATTAATAACAGAAAATCTATAAATGAGTATATGTTGATGAAATACAAACTATAGATGCGATCTGCCATTTTGTTATGTTTGTATATTTTTTTATATGGTAGATCTATTAAGGCAACAAGGCACGTACTTATTATCAAGATCCCTTATTATAATGTTGAATGTGATTTTTATAATTTGTAGGAAGGGAAATTTTGTTTTATGTTTACTTATACGCTTTCCTTCAGTGAAAAGGAATGTGAATGAATATGAAACCAAAAAGACATTTGTATTTCGTTTATTTTAAAATAGGATATCAACAAAGTTTATAAATAGTATTGGCATAAAACATTTTTGCAGTCTCGTAACCAATGATTTGTGGCTTACAATTGCTGTTAACTAGGAACATTTTTCAAGCCACAATAATGCTTTTTCAAAAAGCACTTGTTAATTCATACTATCAGTAAAACTTGTATTTACATATTCAATATAAAATTGTCAAGTGTATAAAAATAAATATATAATATTAAATTTATTAATCTAAAGGCCTATCAGTATCAGATCTAATTTCTTAATCTAATAATTTACTATCACATAGGTAATATGAAAATGCTTCCTTAATCACACCATCGAAATACTTTTATTATAGTTCACTCAATCATTTTTGAACTGGCACACAAAAATTGTTTAAAGTCATTTTCACATTTAAAACATTTTTTGTTTTCAAGCACACCTTAAAAGTTTTAATAAGACATCTTATTCTAATATCGCATACTACATTTGGCTTTGTTGTTGCTAATAAGGAATAAAAACGCTAGAAAGTCGAAGGTAGCGGTTTCATATTTGCTTTGGAACTCATTCTTCTAACTTTGAATCCAGCCAATTTTCTTTCGATATCTTGCAAACTTTGTCCTTGCGTTTCGGGAACCCACATGATAACAAAAATTAGCGATATAGTACAAATGACGGCGAATAACCAGAAAGTACCATCAGGTCCAATTAGAGATATTATATCAACAAAAGTTTTCGTTACAATAAATGTGCATGTCCAATTGAATGCTGTTGCCAAAGCAGCGGCCGATCCCCGAATTTTCGCTGGCAAAATTTCTCCTAACATTAACCATGGAATTGGGCCAAATCCTAATGAAAATCCGAGTACGTAGACGACGAAGCTTACCAACGGTAACCATCCGTAATTAGATACATCTACCCCGTTTTTCGATAAATGGAAATATGTGCCCAAACATGCTAGTGTTATCGTCATTGAAACGCTGGATACATATAAAAGAACTTTTCGTCCAAGTCTATCAATAAGTACTGTTGCGATAAAGGTGGAGACAAAGTTTACGATTCCTACGATTATTGTGCAAAGATTTTTATTAATGGTCGATCCTGCCATCTCAAAAATTGAAGTGGTATAGAAAATTACGGCGTTGATACCACTCATTTGTTGGAAAAACATGAGACCCAACGAAATCAAAAGTGGTTTGAGGTGAACTCTGTTAAACAATTCACCTAGATTTGAGCTGCTTGAGGATTCATCACTTTCCTTTTGAGATTTTTCGAGTTCTTCATATTCGGCTTTAACATTCGCATCTTTTCCTCTCAGCCACTGTAGAGCGGTACGTGCTTGTTCATGTTTTCCTTTGGCAACATACCATCTTGGGGTTTCTGGTATGATAAACATCAGGAATAAGAATGGAACTGGCAGACAGATTCCTACCCACGCCAGTTGGTTCCATTTCACATAGCTTCCGATTGTGAAACACATAAGAATTCCTATATTACCAAATGCTGTTGGCAATAAACCTAAAGTGCCCCTGACCTCTGGTTGAACAGTTTCTCCAAGATAAACGGGCAAAGCCAAAGATGCAATTCCGACGCAAAATCCAGAAATACTTCTAGCTGCGTATAAATACCAAACATTGGTTGCAAGGGCAACCATTGCCCATGATACCACAAACAGTACGTTGGTTATAGATATTGTAGTCTTTCTTCCCGTTAATTCTATCAATTGGCCTCCAACTAATCCTCCAATCAGAGCACCGAGTGGCATCAAACCGCAAACCCAGGAATACTGAAACATGTACATTATTCTTTGGAGTTATATTTTTTTTGTTGTTATTTATTAATAGTTTTGCCGTAAATCATAGTTTCAGTGAACAGGGCCCAGATATTATATTTTTCTGTTCTTTACTGTATCGTGTATAATCCACTAGAAATGTAGTATTTTTATTCAAATTCAAAAAGTCCGCAATAGATTAATTATCATACTACGATAATAGTTTTACCGTTTGGACCACTTAAAAAAAATAGTATTTTTAATAAACAATTTGCGATAACGCATAAGTCGGTGCATTGTTAGGCATTCAAAACCGTTTTATTTTTATTAACCATTAATAGATTCGTTATGTTCATTAGTAATTGTAAATTGTATTTTTTCATGTGACCTCAATGAAATGAACTACTTAAGATTTTCCAAATGGATGCAAAATCAACTTTTAAAAAAGTTTTATTATTACCTGTTCCTTATTAATTCCAACTTCGCTTCTAAGCGTTTCTTCGGCGGGTGATGTATAAGCTGACACAAATCCTACAATAAGGGACACTAAAGATACAGAAAGGGCCGTAATCACCTGAAAAAAAAATAACACTACGATGTTGAGCATGTCGAAAAATTAAACTCACGCGGGAAACGTAAACGCACCTGAGATAGTGTACATTTAGGTTTCGGTGCATCGTCGTTAAGTTTAAAGCTAACATGGGTATCAGCCCTTAAAAGCACCTTCATATTGACGCGCAAGCCTGTTGACTGCGAAAACTACTGACGCGTTATACTGTTTATACTCTATCGATTATGTATGATTCGAGAATAAGGCGCAAATAAATAAGGAGTAAATTGACCATATGCCGATTTTATAGAGGAACATAATGTCAGACCCCCCTCTCCCTTACTTTTATTAAAATTAGCGGCGCAGTCGTGTATTTGTCCTTAATGATCAATTATTATTGAGACAGTTTCTAAGATAGACAGCGACGTTATCTCCGGGATTTTTACCACCCAAAAATTTATAAATGCCAAATACAGTTCTGTTTGAGAATTTCTTGATAAAAAACGCCCAGATCAGTCTCGTCCTCGTACTTGTAACCTTACGGTTACCTGAATAGGTGAAGCCTCAAGGGTGTTCATGGAAAATCAATCAAACTATGCACTTGATGCAGGTGCGTGTAAAGAATTAAATCGTCCCACTTACATTTTTTCTTCGCCTAAAAAACTTGAATTCACTTTCATTTACGAACTTGATATAGGTGCATTTAATATATAAATCAATCGGCGGAATAGGCATTTTTCTATAAATATATGTACTTTTTTTATGAATTTCGCAACACAGAAAATTACCGTATGATAATAATAAAACAAAAGTATATCCATATAAAAAAATAATATCTTTACCGCATGAGTTGCCGTCCTTATAAATAGTGGCATACTTGATGTGCACTTAAATAATTGATTTTCGCATTTTCTAAAAATGATCTTTTGCGTTTAACGAATATCATTACATTGACGTTCCTTAGTAGACAAAATCTTTTATAAGTTATATAAGTAACGGCATAATAACCTTAATATGATTTGTTATACCAAATAATTATTTCATAAGATACAAACAATTCTATTAACCTACACGCTTAATTTAAAATACTGTAATTCAGTGCTGAATTATTTCTTTTTTAAAACTAAATAAATGTTACGAATTGTAACTGAAATTAGTATCTCAAACTTGGATATATTTAATGCATACTGAATATACATATTTAAAAAAGATGTTTATTTGAGAATTGACGTGTTATTAAAAAAAAAATTGTATTAGCGACTTTTAGGCTTTAGATTTTTTATACTGTAATGTCAACATTATCGTAACTTCAGAACTATTGGAGTTAGACCCAGCGTTAGTGTCTTCGTAAAATTTATGACGATAGCTTCAGTATTTTCAGGTAAAATCAGACAAATACAGATTCTTTTTTAGGTATTTGATTCGTTTCAATATTATGAACAAATAGGTGTTTAGGTAAGAGTTGAATTTATTTCTATGATTTAGTTAATTGTATTTCGTAAGTAGTCAACTAACTGGTCAGTTATTTGATAGATAATATTGAAATGAACTTTGTGCTTATTTTCTTAGACATTGCACCACAAAAAAGTAACAATTTTCACCAAAGCAGAGAAATCTCTAATCAGTCTCATTGTCAAGAGAACATTTATAAATCTACTTCATACTAGCTTTGATCCGCGACTTATTTCGCGTTGATTATAATAAATACAATTATTATAAACAATAACCAATTAAACAGGCATTACTTTTAGATTTCTCCTGATATTCATGTCTCCTAAGTTTCATCGAAATCATTTTGTTCCTTTCGAAGATTAGCTTGTACAATAGACAATAATTTTTTAAGGATCGAGTATTTAAATAAGCATATGAACTTAAAAAATGCAGTTATTTTAATATAGCAGACAGACACATCAATTTTATTTATATAGATAGAATGTATCTCTTGAAAAATGTTGAAGTTTGATTTAACAGGATATTCAATTAACTTCAATCTGTTTTATTATAAGTAAAAGTAATGGTCGTCTACTTGGATCTTATATAGGGAATTAATGATTTTTGCCACTTACTTGTCGAAGTATTGACGGTTTCTGGACGGTTGTTTCCTTATAAATGTTTATGCTGCAAACGCTACCATCGTCGTTGATTGACCCTTTTCTGGACTCATCATTTTCAACCAGCTTTTCCTTGTTTTTAAGCGGTTGAATTTCGGGTTGCGCCACCCTTAAATTTTCGTCCACAGTCACCATTCTCCTGCTATTGTGTAACGTTAAGGACCCAAAAGGGTGATGTTGAAGATCTAACGAAGATAGATTGGTTGCTGTGGTACAGGCCGAAATGGTTGGACTGTCAATTTTCGTCAATAAACGATGCTGACCGTTCTAAGAACAAATAAAATCTGTTGACGACCATTACGGAAAAGCAATTTTATATTTTTTGATAAGAGCTGTATGGCTACCACGTGAAGAAATTGACCTCTGATTAGTGATTACAGTTTCATCACGATAAAAACAACTATTAAAGAGAGACGTGTGAAGACCCCGCAATATTTAATTCTCAAAAACGCTGCTCTCTACATATAGAGTGATTCACTCTTTTTAGTATTCATTGGGATTGTTCGACTTTTTTGTAAAAAATCCGTATTAAGCTTATGTGGTGGAAAAAATTATTACCAATTTTTCTCGTTTACGTAATTCATTATATGATAAATTTTTTTAAACTTTAATTCAAAATATCGGATGTACTGCAAGGCAGCTTTTCGTTTTCACTTGTTAAAAAGGCAACTAACGGTATAATTATGTTAAAATCATTATTTTCTATTCTCCATGTATATTGATCGTCTCCATCAACGGTTGAGTCCCCGCTATTCCATTACAACTCTTCGATAAAAATTCAAAAGGTCATTTCTCGAATCGGACGTAATAAAAGTATCAAGAAAATTTGAACGGTAAATTTGGTTTGACTTGCAACTTTGATCCTTTTAGATTTTTAACTTTACGCAAGTGCTGATTGACGTTACTTATCACGAGTTACGTATTTGGTGTTTATATACACATTTCCTTATAGTTTTATTCATACATTTTTAAGAAAATTGAAGAATTTGAAGTTCATTGCCACGGCTATTCTTCCAAATTAGTACTTTAATAACCAGGAAAAAATAGAACACGAACCAATTGAACCAGTTTCTGTCCGCTGAGAAATATTTAAACTATCGTTTCACGTTAATTAAAGAATGTTGACTTTTAAACATTTATTAAATTGTTTTTTATCTTATACGTTTATTCTTTGTTTGATCTTGACAAATTAATTTTAACTGTAGTAGGACTTCTTAGGGCATCGACGTCACATTTTTCACATCTGTTTTATTACCTCGTGGTATTTATTACTTATAATTATAAATGATGCTTCTCTAATTTTAAGGTCTTTTTAGATTAGGTATTAATAATTTTTTAAATGTAGTAGTTTTGGTTACGGTATAATTTAAAATTTTTTAAACAATAGCACACAATATTGTGTTTGTTGTTTTACTTATTGTTTCATTTGTATTATTGTAATTCATACGGTGATTAAAGTCAGACTTTAGATTTTTTTAGATATTTTAGTACCTTTATGCAAGAAAAAAATTAAATGTACTTTTCCGCGCCATGTACGAAAAATAAAATGAATAAAATCGCGTTGAAATGTTTTAATGGCTAATAAAGGAAATAAGTTTAATAGCTCGATAAGGATTGCTTATTTGTACGATTAAAATTTAGTTTAAACGAATTGATGGTAATTTTTAATTTCGAAAAAAGTGTGTTAATTGCCAAGTTAAATGATAAAAAAATTGAATTTAAAAGTTATTTACTAATAAATAATTAGTTTTTAAATATGCAAACGAACAACGTTGAAGATATGTAGTTTTAAATTCGTTTCAATTTCTGACGTCTCTATAAAAAATATTTTAGGTAATTAGAATTCGGATCATCAAAATTTTTGTTTATTTGTAAAATCGATCAGTACCAGTTTCA